CACGTGAGACCAGGTGTACAGGTCCGACCCGGTCTCACATGAGACCAGGTGTTCAGGTCCGACCCGGTCTGATGTGTGACCAAGTGTACAGGTCCGACCCGGTCTCACGTGAGACCAGGTGTACAGGTCCGACCCGGTCTCACATGAGACCAGGTGTTCAGGTCCGACCCGGTCTGACGTGTGACCAAGTGTACAGGTCCGACCCGGTCTCATGTGAGACCAGGTGTTCAGGTCCGACCCGGTCTCACGTGAGACCAGGTGTACAGGTCACCCGGTCTGACGTGTGACCAGGTGTACAGGTCCGACCCGGTCTGATGTGTGACCAAGTGTACAGGTCCGACCCGGTCTCACATGAGACCAGGTGTACAGGTCCGACCCGGTCTCACATGAGACCAGGTGTTCAGGTCCGACCCGGTCTGACGTGTGACCAAGTGTACAGGTCCGACCCGGTCTCACGTGAGACCAGGTGTACAGGTCCGACCCGGTCTCACGTGAGACCAGGTGTACAGGTCCGACCCGGTCTGACGTCAGACCAGGTGTACAGGTCCGACCCGGTCTCACGTGAGACCAGGTGTACAGGTCCGACCCGGTCTCATGTGAGACCAGGTGTTCAGGTCCGACCCGGTCTGACGTCAGACCAGGTGTACAGGTCCGACCCGGTCTGACGTGTGACCAGGTGTACAGGTCACCTGCTTGTGCGTGATCAGATGTCTCTATAGGAGCTTTCTGAGCTGAAGAGGATGTGAGGTTCTGGACTCAGACCGGCTCATGGAGGCGTCGCCACGTTGGAGACAGGAACAAGCGCTATTCAGCCCAAGTTTCATCATCAGGGACATTTTCTTTGTGACACGTCTCTCTGAGAGACCGGGTTTGGAGAACACTCGCTTCAGTGGGAGGAACCTTCTGGTTCTGGTTCTGCTGCTGGTGACCGACGCGCTCCAAGCCCCTCCCCACATCTTCAGCTCGCTGTCCACCTTACGTATGCGCTGACGGCGAGCTGCGCTGAGCTCAGAGTCCATCTCAGATGTTCTGATGGGAACTTTCTCCTGACTGATGTAGCTACATCTGCGATTTAATCTTGAGGAGCTACCTAGAAGATTGTTTTCTTTCTTACCACCGCGATGTGCGTAACCATTTAAATGTCAGCACATCAGCAGACTTGAGGTTTCTCCGTCAAATTAAACGGTCAAATACAGGAAATATCCAGTCAGGACGAGCCCTGCCATTCACCTGCTCCGTTTTCTGGTGAAATTTGATGCAAACACATAAAATGAAACTTGATGACCACCAGAGCCAGGCGCCGGTATCTCCGTCGCTGTAAATGAGGATCCTTTCCTACCTTCCCCACCTACAAAGTTTAATTACCACAATCCAACGAGACAGAGCCTGGATTTGTGTTCTGAACAGTCTAAACGTGTTTAAACAGAAGCGTGTGACTAAAGTGGCGCCTGCTCAGTAAAACCACTAACGGTGAAAAATATCAACATGTTGTAAGCAGAGACGGGCGACAACTTCTGGATCCACTTCATACAAACTGTTTTATTGATTATCGTCTTATGAAAGATAACTTTGACGTACACGAGCGACCGGTACCGGCTGCTGTCACCTGTTGTGATTGGCTATAGCAGCTCCCTGCTGCGGCTCCCAGTGTTTCCTTCACTGGGAAACAGGTAATAATGGCTCTTTGATGGGAAAAGGCTGCCGACCCCCGGATTAGGTCGTTATTATTATTTGTGGTTATTTGTAGCAAGGTGGGTGTAAAATAAAAACTAACAAAAACAGCTGGGAAAAGAGCGCGAGGTAGAGCGGCCGCAGCGTAGGAAACATTGTGTTGCTTCATCCCCAGAAATCTCACTCTGAACTTTTCTTTTAGCTTGAGAGCTCTGATGTACATGAGCATCATCACCTTTTAACTTATTTACAGTAACATATAAATGCAGCATGATTATATGCTTATCATCATTCATATTTATCTATTTTCCTATCATATGTTTGGACAGCCTCCGAGTTTCAGGACCTAGCACAGCGTTTACGGGACTGGGGGACTCGGGGGTAGGTTTTCCGTTGATAAAATGCAATATGAAAGATAAAACTAATTTAGTTATTGTTGCTTGTTGGCTGGGGCGCTGTGTACGACTTTGTTGTAAACTGACGATAAATAAAGTTGTGGATCTTAGAGACCTAACACACAGCAGCAAATGTAGCTAGCATTAGCTAACATGTTAACTAATGTCCAAAGCTAAAGGGCTCGTTTAACTTAGCTTAGAGAGTAGGTTAACATTCTGGCAATGACTCCATGGTAACCATAACGTTGGGCCATTTTGTTCTCTTGCCTCTAGATAGCAGATATAGACAACACGGTAGCTAGTTAGCCGTGACGCTTACCTTTGAGCAGACATATGCTTTCTGATGTTATAAACATTTAACAGGGAGTAGGACCGTCCACACTGTTTGATCCATATCAGGCCCCGCCCATACCGTTTGATCCATATCAGGCCCCGCCCATACAGTTTCATCCATATCAGGCCCCGCCCATACAGTTTCATCCATATCAGGCCCCGCCCATACCGTTTCATCCATATCAGGCCCCGCCCATACAGTTTCATCCATATCAGGCCCCGCCCATACCGTTTGATCCATATCAGGCCCCGCCCATACAGTTTCATCCATATCAGGCCCCGCCCATACAGTTTCATCCATATCAGGCCCCGCCCATACCGTTTCATCCATATCAGGCCCCGCCCATACAGTTTCATCCATATCAGGCCCCGCCCATACAGTTTGATCCATATCAGGCCCCGTCCACGTTGTTTACAGCTTTGGGAATGAATGGAAAACAACTCCTCCAGACAGTCTCTCTGGGTATTGACTGTCCGACTTACAGACGCCATGGGCGCAACGCTATCCATCATGCTTGAAGTTGTCGGACCTCCTCACACAGTAGAAGTTGCTATGATGTGTGATTGGACCAGCAAAAGGTCAATTGGCAAGTTTGGAAATATCCAGATTGGGTTTTTTGATTCAAATCAAATCAAATCAAATCAAAGATACTTTATTAATCCCAGAGGGAAATTAGAGTTTCAGTACACACAATTCAGAGATCAGACATACATGGGCAAGACGCATGACAAGAATTGGTGACTGTGGTCATTCGCAACCCGAGTTGCACTACCTTAATAGAGATAAGAGGGTAACATGAGGATTGGTTCAGGTGGAGGGAAAAAAGGCACTTCAGAGCTACCCTCCACCAGGAGGGCAGCTTTGCTCTGCAAAAACAAAACCTCAAACAGATATGCAACAGACTTCAGACAACACAACATAAGTGTCCACTAGGTGGGGTGGTGGGTTGGGACTATCCCCACTTCAGCTTCTGCAGCCACGATAGAAGCAGCGCATGTCTCCTCAGTGTGGATAGGGGAGGAGCATTGAGGGTTGGAGGGTTGCAGTGACCCTGGAACGATTCAGCGGCCTTCCCGCAGTCCCACCCAGGCTGGGATAGGAGACAGAGTTGAGTTGCCATAGCGACGGCACATTCCACTTATCTTCTGAGGGGGGAGTTTTTGTTGTAGCCTTGCAGGCTCAAGGATGCCAGATTCCGATTAGAAATTGTTTTGGGGCCAGACAGAGATAATTTCCTCTCTGTCTTAAAGTTTGATGGTCCTCAACCTCTCAAAATCCCAATAATGGACATTAATCTATCCCAATCCATGCTGATTCGTCCACTCTCTCCTTGATATCATCCATCTTTTGAGCCAAAGAATGAATGTCGGCCAAAGTCCCAAGCTTACGATTCATCTTGACAATTATTTGAGTCTGTGAATTCACAGCGCGGTGCAAACCATCTCTGAGCTCCGGGATCCGGCCAGTATTCCTCGACAGCTCATTAATTTTCCGGTATGCCAGGAAGCCTCCAATGCCGACCAGCAGGAAACCCGACACCAACACCACGAATATCCACACGTCTTCAGAGTCCTCCACAGACAGCTGGTCTGTCCCGGAGGGGCATCCGGGAGCCCCTTCCCCCGTTCTCATCGTTGAAAAAATTTTATCAACCACGCTGAGACCAGCTGACGAGATCCATTTTAGTGAATTTCAGTTTCCAGTTTCCAGAAAAAATGCAGAAGCAGCCGTGCACCCAGCACACACAGACAGACAAAGGCCTTGAGGATAAGATATGGAGGAGAAGAAAAGCGTCTGCACCCTCCTAGAGCCGGAAGAATATGCATTTATTAATAGTTGAACAGCATTTTTAAAACTAAGTGGAACAGTTACCTTTAGCAGGCTGCTATCAATAATTAACCAGATTGTAGGCCCAACTGTAGCCATGACTTGTTTAAAAATGTGTAGGGATGGCATCTAGAGGAGAGGTGGTGTGTTTGTGTGTGAGATAAAATCACAGAGACGCATAATTCACAGGCTGAAGCTCTTTAAAGACAGAGGCAGCATGGCTCAGAGAAGTCACAGGGACATCTACTGGCTTCAGGCTTCTTAGTGAAGACATTTTAAAGATCTTCAAACGACACTGTGGTTAATCAATCAATCCATCATCAATCAATCAATCCATCATCAATCAATCAATCAATCAATCAATCCATCATCAATCAATCAATTCATCAATCAATCAATCAATCAATCAATCAATCAATCAATCAATCAATCAATCAATCCATCATCAATCAATCAATCAATCCATCATCAATCAATCAATCCATCATCAATCAATCAATCAATCAATCAATCAATCAATCAATCCATCATCAATCAATCAATCAATCCATCATCAATCAATCAATCAATCAATCAATCAATCCATCATCAATCAATCAATCCATCATCAATCAATCAATCCATCATCAATCAATCAATCCATCATCAATCAATCAATCCATCATCAATCAAGTTTTATTTACGTAGTGCTTTCCACCACCCTCAAAGAGGACCAAGGCGCTGGACACCAAATGTAACAAAGATAAAAATGGTCATAAAAACATTAAAAGTAGAATAAGAGCATAAAACATTTGTGAGAACAATAAAATGTCAATGAACTAAAATTTAGATAAAAGAAATTTTAAATTAATTAGTCAAAAGTGTAGCGGAGGCAAATGTATTGTTTATTTGATATTCTGTATAAATATAAAATATTACCTTGCTTGATCTTTATTGTAAATATCAGAAGATTCTAGGATTTTTGCTTTATTAAGTCATTATAAACACTTCATGTTACTTCAAGAGTCAGGTTTATAACAGTAAGAATTTATTTTATAAACAATTTAAAACATGACTAATTGGTTAACTGTTATTTACTGTGACTGGATGGAGCTAAAGGTGATGTATGAACCTATGTGTGGATGCAACGTTGGTCAGAACCTCCGTATCTCTGAGAGCTGAGTTCTGGATGTAAAGAATTTGGTCTGCTCTAATCTATAAGTGGTTATCATCAAAAGAACATCAGACGCTATCTGTGTGTCTACATTACCCGTATTCAGAGAGAGACCCTCTTGGTGGATCCGAAAGTCAGAGAGGTCGGCTGGCCGCTGGCACCGGAGGGCTGTAGAATACGGTGGTACCGATCTTCAGTCCGGAGATGTCTCGGGTCACGACAGCTGGATGGAACGAGCGTCTGGAGGACTCTTAAGGAGTCTAAACAGTATCAGCTTGTTCTGCGGGAACTGTTGGCTCATCAGCTTCAGGTGCAAAAAGGTTTTGACGACGTGTCAAAATCTTTGATGGTTAAAGAGGTTTGGCTGCAGACGGCCGGTCTGAAGCTTTCTCTACAACTGGCAAATTACTCAGCATGTTTTAGTTGTAAAGTTTAGCTGTTATGGTTTGGACAGCCAATCAGAGGCTGACACGTTTGGAGATGTTACCGAGGCAACTCCGAAACACGCCTTCTTTGATGTGGAGGCTCTGATCTGGGTGAAAGGTTAGCTATGTGTCATGGATTTAGCTTAACCGTACGTGTTGTTGTGTGGAGCAGGTGTGAGACCTTGTGGTCAGACATGGTGAACACGTGGCAGGTTCAGTAGACAACATCACATCACATCCATTCAGTGAGCACAGATGAATGAAGCATGTCATTATGCTATAATCATCATAAGTAGTGATAAACAAATGTTTATTTAATGATTATCTAGATTATAAGTCATGGAAGGAGTTTATAATCATTCTTGAATTTAGCAACTGATTGGAGCTGGATCTTCTTTCTTCTGGAGCAGACCGATGGGACCTTGGGAAAGAAAGTTATTGTTTATCCTTCCAGTCTAGCAGAGTCTGAGTCCCAGCTGGTGTGAAGCAGGCTCATCTAAACACGAGCAGTGTTGTGTCTCCTTTCTGACCAGATGCTGAATAGATGGTGAAAGGTCAGGCTGTGCCTACGCTGACCACTGCTGGACGCTACAAAACAAAGCTGAGAACAAAAAACAAAACCAGAAACCAAAAACTTTAGGAGAAAGCCATCCTATAAACATGAGTCTTCAACCTGCTCCTAAAGACCGCCAGTGATGGGGAGCTGGTTCCAGAGAGAGGGTGCGAGGACTAGAAAAGCCAGACCACCACGAGTCTTAAATCGAGTGCGGGGGACGATAAGCATTTCCTGGTCAGCTGACCGTAATGACCTTGAGGGAACATGCTTTATTAGGAGCTCCGCTAAGTAGGTGGGGGCACAGCCTTGGAACAGCTTAAACACAAAAAGCAGAATTTGATGACATTTGATGACATGTGGGCTTAATCTGAAGGATTGAGGATAAAATGTATAGTATTCAAAAGCACCTTAGGGCTGTGTGCATGTTGTGCTATGAGAGAGGAAAATGCAGGAGCTACACAGTTGATGACATTTCAGCAAACTGAGTTAAAATCAATAACTAGCTGGTCTGTATCAATAAAAATCTATTATGAAATAACAGCAGCAAAGTTTTCTGAGGTCATATTAGAACTGGGTATTGATTCAAATTTCAAGAATCGATTCGACTCAGATTCTCAAGAGTTAGAATCGCTTATCACGAACCGAACCAGTTCAGTCTGCTCCAGTTCGATATTATATGGGTCGGTGCGATCGAAACATCTGTTTGAGCGGTTACCTTAAATAAACCGTGCTGTCGTTCTTTTTTTAAAACACAGAAACAGTTTGGTTACCTGTTTTCCCCGCGGATAAACGGAGAAGGAAGTGACGCCACCATCAGCGTCAGCCTGAGGAAGTCTGCAGCCGCAGACGAAACGTAGCGCGGGTTAACAGGTAACGAAACTGTTTCTGTGTTTTAAAAAAAGAACGACAGCATGGGATTAGAACCACGACACAGCAAGAACACACCTACGATGTTCAACCCTAATTAAACACCTGTAATTCAATGATGCAGCGGTAACGATCTGTAGGAGGTTACATATAATAAATACAATAGAATATAAAGATATTCAATAAAATGTAATATTCCATAAAAATATGGATTATCAATATTATTGATCCTTTAATATGATTGATGATGAAAGTCGGTACTTTGGTTAATCAGGGAAACAACACTTAATAATAATTTAACACAGAGACAAAAATATAGTTTATAAAATCTAATTATTACTATATTAATGATGATGAAAGGCTAATGATTGAAAATGGTGACACAGTGATGTTAGATGAGACCATGAATGAACTGATGAAACATGACCTGGTGTGTTTGAGTTTTCTAAGTGGCTCAGAAAGGTGTGATGTCTGGTTTATTAAATAATCTGGATGTTTGTTGGATGTAATTTAACAAGTTATCAGATTAATAATAAACCACAATGATCAATCAATCAATCAAAGCTTTATTTATAAAGCGCCTTCCTGTCGGGAAGCCCAAGGCGCTGAACAAGATGAACAATAATGAACAAGAGTCTGCTTCTAAACCTGCAGGAAGAGAAAAACAACACACAACAATACATCAGGAGCAAGCTGTCACCGCGTCAGCCTGATGAAGAAATACAAAATCAAGATTGTTTAACTGAACAATCACGATAATAAATCACAGTGCATTTAGTGCCAACCACAGCCTTAAGACCTGTGTTGAACGTGCCCAAGTCCATACTTATGAGAGCACCATGTGAGCACCTGTGTGTGTACACGCGCTTGTTTATGTAAGGTTTCTCTATAGGAGCGTCCAACAGAGAGTGTGAGGGACCACAGATCTGCCCCCCAAAGATGTGCAGGAGACGGGGGAGCTCCAAGTCCCAGAGATCCAGGAGCTGTCCCAGAGCGCAAGGACCCCAGGAAGACTGCAATCAGAAAAGCCCCCGCCCCCCTCTCGAGAGGCGCAGAGGATCACCCCAGGGGGCCACAACCAGCAGCCGGCAGAGTTCCAGGAGATATCAGCGGCTACCACACAGGCCCGCCCGCAGCCTTCCACCCCCAAGCCAGCAGAGCCCGGAACCCAGCGACCCAGGGGCGACAAACCCCGCTGGGGACCCAACAGAGCCCAGGGACTCATATCCCACCAGGCAGCCACCGGGATTAATCAGGCAGACGCTAAAAATCTTAGACCCTCTGACCCGGGAGCTGCGAACACTCAGGCAGACCAAGGCACCACACTCCACACCAGGTCTGGCAGGGGGAGGGGAGACGAAGATCTATATCATCAAAGGAGGTCCCAGAAGAGGGGAGGAGTCCAAGACCCCACCTGACATATACAGTCATACACAAACACAGTCACACACTCCCTCCCTCATGCTCACACACACACACA